GGGCCAGGCTGCATCAGCACTGCTACTGCACACCAAGCCAAAGATGCTCCAGAATTATGTTGGTTGAAGTAAGTGTAACCTCAGACACAGGTAACACTCTTAAAAACCCATGCAGAGTCTTGCAGCTAAGGCACACAACCAGAAAGCACCACAAACTATTCACAGCAGCCACCTGGAAACCACAGCTGAGAAACAGGAAGACAAAATTTACCATTTTGCTGGTGATTTTAAGCAGTAAACTTCTTGAACTTTGCTTCAGCAGACCTGAGCCCCACAGACTCACAAACCACTGCGCTGCCCAAACCAACAGCAACGCGGCATTATTAAGAGTAATAAAGTTCTTGAGCTACAGAGCATCCAGTGTTCTCTTAAAATGATTAAAATGAACAAATCCTCCTTAATTGTATTAGTGTTAGCTCCCTGAGGGAGCACAGCTTGGTTGCTAACAGAGAGAGACCAGGCTCCCAGCCTGACCTGGCCACTCTCCTGCCCTTCTTTTCCTGCTGTGGCAGCACCCAGCTCACAGCAACCCAAGCTTTGGCTCTCCTCTGTGCTACAGAAGGGGCTTTGAGATGAACTGTTGCAGATCAGACTGCAACCTAAACACAGAGTAGCCCCATCTCACTGAACTCAGTGACAAAGCTTCCCTCAGGTCAGGGTTTCACCCTGAGCCTGTCTTTCAGCAGGCTGCTGCTGAGTGTGAACACTCATAAGGCCACCACATTCTCCTTTCCCACCTGGGATGCTTCAGAGCACCATCCTCTGGAGCAGAAGCACTGCTGTCACCCCAAGCTATGCATGGGACACCTCGTCAGCTACCTAAGGCACCTCTGAAGTACTCTCCAGATGCTGGCTGCTGGCCATAGAGTCCCCAGAGCTGCAAAGGAGCCACTTTTCTTACACTGAAGCCTGGCTGCCAAGATGCTGAGATACTGAAGTGCAACTGTACACCTCTGAAACTCAACTCCCAACCACCTCCCACTGGAATTCTGCACTGGGCATCCCAACAGAGCACTTTAAAACAAGCACATAGCTTGAAATAATAATAATAAAAAAGGAGCCTAATTTGCAAAAGAAATGCTGCCAGCTCTATTTTTAGGCAAACCAGTGTTTCTACCTCCGGAGGTCCAGTGTTCCCTTGGGCTATTCTGAGATCAACCCAAGTCCTTAATAAGAGTTTTCAGTGAGTCCAATGACATGGAGGAGGTAAAAGCTTGAACTAAAACAAACAGAAAAGTGTTCTAAACAATCTGTTATTTGGCAGCAAGTGCAAGGGGCTGGAGATCTCAACTGGGAGACATGCAACCTGGGCTCCAGGGTTCCCTCTGCAGCAAGCTGGATGTTAGAGATTCCCAGAGCCAGATTTGAGCTTGTGCCTAAGCCAAACCAACATCCTTTAGAATACAGAAACACAGAATGGAAAACATCTTTAGGTCCTGGGAGGGATGGAGAAGGAATTGCCACAGGAAACGGTCTCAAAACCCAACACGTGGTGGATGGGACACCCAAACATCATTTCACATGATGCTTTTTCCCCGCACTGAGCTTCCTCCACAACTGTGCTGTGATGCACACTTCTGTCTGCAGCCCACCCGGTTCTGCTGGAGGTCCAGCAGAGAGAAACACTCAGCCCCAAACCTAGAATCACACAGTGTGAAAACGAAAACAAGGGTTCAATTTCCTATTTAGATGCCAGATCTCCTATTGTCCTATGACAAGCAGTCACTCACTGCCCCAACTACTTTTATTTCAGGGCAAGCTGCTGCATTAACAGATGCAGAAGCACCAACAATTCTCCATCAGTGCACCGATCTTTTTAAAATTCAAGCCAAATGAAATATTCCAAGTCATAGCATCCTACAACAAACCTTCTCCCACAGGAACAGGCAAGGTCAGTAAGTGTATCCCAGTTGAGGGCAGCAGCACAGACGACACCTAAGGGGCTGGGAAAGTGGAAGAAAACCAAAGATGCTATAAAGCTATTTCCAAGATCAGGAAGTAAAAGGGGAAGGGGATTCCTGTTTGCCCACAAAACTCATTGCAGCAACATCCTCACTGCTCCAAGTGATGCTTTACAAGACTTGGAACAAAGACTAATTCAAGGCAAGGTGGTAGGAGCTTTCTGAGGAGTGGAAAAATTGGTGGGGAGCAGTTTGCTTTCAGACCGCAGGACTCCTTTTCAGCCAGACAGAATCATCTGATTCTCTCTACCCCTGCCTCAGCATCACTGCAGCCTTTGTCCCCAGACACTGAACAGTCCCCCCTCGAAGGGCTCCTCACCACAGTTCCCACCAATAGAACTGGGGGCTCACTCTCAGCTTGCAGAACATGTTTGAAAGACAAGAACATGATATTCTCTTCCATTACAGCCTATGAAGTTTGTCTGTATCCCTACTGCTGCCTCACACTGTAAAATAAATAACTTCAGCACAGATAAAGTCTATAAAAAATGGGCTTGTGCTTCACCACATATTAGCACAGCAGGTACAACGCCAGAAGCTCCACTGGGAACACGCAACACCCAAAGCAAAGCTCTCACAAAGCAGCAGCAAGACTTCACAAACCTGCTGAACTCTGCACAGCTTCTGACAGCTGATATTTATTTCCAGCTCCCTGTTCCCATTAAACCCAGGACCAACTCCCAAAGCATATGCCACAAACCAACTCTCAATTATTCACACCGAGAGTCAGCATCTCCCCATGGCACCGAATAACTCAATAATCGCTGTTAAATGAACACAATGTCTAAAGGGGCAACTCAGCTCAAGCCATGGCCCAGAGACGTGTGTTTTGGGCTCCGGGAAGCCACCTCATCACAAAATCAATGTATTAATACAAAGCACGGCCTCCGCCAGCCACAACCCACAGCGAGTTTTGAAGGGGACCTCACAGCAGCTCTGAAGGAGCTTTTGCCTGGGGTAGAGAGAAGAAAAGAGGCAGTGAAAAGCCAGCAAACCCCATCCCCTGACAGCACCCAGCCATTCCATCAGCACTGGCTGTCCCACATAGGAACTGACCCCACCTGCAGGTGCTTTAACTGTATTTGCAAATCACTTTTCCCCCGAGTGAAACATCTCCCAGGCTCCTGCTGTTACACTTTAACCAGGTGAACACAGCGACTGGAGCCCTGTTCTTCCAGCTCCAGCTTCCATTTGCTCCAGTTCCCATTTAACAAAGGAAAGCAGGGAAGGACACGTGGTTCTAAACCAAAAGAGCAGCTGTTTTAAGTGCTTTTGGGGGTCAGGCTCCCCAGCTGAGCTCTAAAGGTAGGGCTCAACCAATTGGGAGTTTCTTGAGGAGACTGAGAGCCTGGGAATTGCTTTGATAATGCAGCAAATCCTCTCCTCCCCTGAGATTGCCCAAGAGACATTTGCCAGACAACCTGAGCGCGCCCGGCTCTGGCCTCGGTTAATAAACTGCTCACCCTTGTGGTTCACGAGGGGCTCATGTGAAGGATGTATGTATTTGAAAGCTGCAGGGCTAATATGTAACCGGTGTGATTCGGGTTGAGCCGGGCTCCTGCACATGGCGAGCCCAACGGTGTGCAAACACCCCCGAACTCACCGGCTCCTCCACCCGGGCCTCGGTTGCCTCTTTCTGCCAGTGCCAGCACCGACCCTCCGCGGGTTTTGCCATCGCACGGCGCAAACCCGGCTGCTTAAAGCCACCGTCACCTTCATTCGCCTCTCGGCTCCTCTCCACGCACTGGGAGCTTGTTTTTAACGCCCATCAAAGCGCTTTACTCAAGAACCAAGTCTCCTTTGCGGCTGGAAACCAACCCAGAAGGCGAGAAGGCGAAGCCTAACGCCAGGGCGAGGGATGGCGGCTGCAGGAGCACCGGGAACGGGGCGGCAGGGACGGGCCGCGGCAGTAGGGGAGGAACCGGCCGCTCGTTTCCATGGCGGGGGATGCCCGACTTTCCTTCCTCCGAAGCTTTGCGACTAACACCGCTCGGACACCCCGCGGTGGCAACAGCGAGGCAAAGGCCGCTCTGCCGGTAACACCGGCGGCTGCAGCCCCGGAGTCGCCTTCCCAGCGGCCTTTCACCACGGGAAGGCCGGGCCGGAGCAACCAAAACCCAGAGGCCTCCGGAGCTCGCCGGTTCCCGCAGCCCGGAGCGGCGGGGAGGAGACCGGGAGCCACCGGGCCGCGGGGCCTACGGGCCCGCTGCCACCACCGCCGCCAGGCCGGGCCGCACCGGGCCCAGCCGCGCCGCCGCCGAGGCCCGTGCCCGGGGCAGGCCGCGCGGGCAGACAAGGGGCGCTGTGCGGAGGAGGGAGGCGCGGCCCGGCCGCCCCGCAGCACGGCCCCGCGGCGCGGCCGCCCCTCACCTGCACATGATCCGCCATCTTGCTCCATTCATGCTCCGCTCCCTCCGCCTCCGCCGGGCCCGGCACGCCGCGGCCCCCCCGCCCTGCCTCACCACAAAAGGCACGGCGCACGCGCCAGCCGCCGCGCCATGACGTCACGACGGCGACGACGCAAGGGAGGGTTTGTTGACATGGCGCTTAAAGGGGACGCGCCCCATGGCGGGGTCCTGAGCCAGCGACAGCGGTGCCCGGCACCGGTGGTCTCATTGCCAGTACCAGTACCCCCAGTGCCCAGCCCCAGTGCTCCCAGTACCAGTGCTCCCAATGCTCCCGGTGCCCGGCACCAGTGTGCTGCGCAAGTGGCTCCCAGTTAACCAGCCAGAGACAAGCCTCATGCCCCAGCAGCACCCGCACCAGTGCTCCCAGTGCTCCAAGTTCCCCAGCCAAGGAGCACACCTTGTGTCTCCTCCAGCCCCGGCCCAGCACTGGGGCTTCATGGTGGTGGCTCAGACCTGGTGTTGCCGGCACCCAACCAAGCACCCCTGGGTGCTCCTTCTCATGAGGCTGGGGTGCTCTGGGTCCCCCACATCATCCCATAGCACCCCATCAGCCCCTGCTGTCCCCATGTCTGGACACAGCCCCAAACCCCTTCCTTCCAGCTCCAAACCACCCTCCCCACTCACCCCCTTTTCTCTTCCCACCTGCACCATGGCCAGTGTGGAGGCTGGGGCTGCACCAGCCCTTACTGGGAGCGCTGGGTCAGGCTGGGATTGCTGGGAGCAGGCAGAGGGGCAGAGCTGGGGGTTATGACCCCAATGGAGCAGCCCTTGGAGCTGTCTTGGTCCCGTTTCCCAGCTGGGTAAACTGAGGCACGGGGATGGCCGGGTGTGGGGCCGGGCTGACTGCCCGTTGTGGGGAGCTCATGGGGCAGGAAGCCGGAGCTCAGCCATGAGGAAGAAACAGCAGCACCCAAAGCACACGTCACACGGCATGACAGGGCATGACGGGTGCGTGACCTCCGCCGGCGGCGGGACAGAGGCGGAGGATGCTGGTGGATGGGTGATGGAGGAGGCGGTGGTGAAGCAGGGGGTGCTCCACCTGCAGCTGCAGCAGACCTTTGGCAAGGTGAGGAGGTGGCGGTGGGATGCTCGGTGCATGGGGGCACGGCTGGCCTGGACATGAGCGTTGCATCTGATGGGAATGGGATGATCCCAGCCATTGGCTTCCCACCCATCCCTCAGGTTTCCACCAGTGCATTGGGTAAGGGGATGGAAGGTGCTGCGGACATTGCAAAGAGAACCCTCCCAGTGGGACCCCCCTTGAGGATCTGCAGAGCGGGCATCAACTGGTGCAGCCCCCGGAGCATCCTGTCCTCAGGGGGGTTAGCGACGGCTCCTGCTTGGAGCACCCAGGGAATGGGCAAAGAGGAACCTGGGTCCCTATGGCCACCTGCAGCTGGGCTCACAATGCTGCAGGCAGGGCGCAGGGTGCAGACGCGGTCCCGGTGCGGGTGATGCGGAGGAGTTTGAGCTGTTCAAGACTTCCTCCACCACCGCTTCCTCTCCCCGCGGCCGTTGCTGCCGCCTCGGGGCGCGGGGTGGGAGCGGTTTCAATGTTGGTGCTTCCAGGGAAGATGGAGCAAACGAGGGCCTGGGTCCCGCAGCGCTGGGGCTGTTGGGTGCTGCAGGCACGGGATGGATCCCGGTACCGGGATGCTGCTGCAGGCTGTGAGCCGGGGATGCTCTTCCCCACCTCTGCCCTCATCCTGGCCAACCAGACAGGGTGAGGGTGCAGGACCCTGCCTGGATCATGGACACGTCTGCACCAGTGTCCTCCCACACTGGAATTCGTGCGTGATTCCAAGGGGATAAAAGCTCCTGGAAGGAGCTGGCCAGTGCTGGGCTTTCACCCCTGGAATCCTAGGATAGCTTGGGTTGGAAGGGGCCTTAAAGCTCCTCCAGCTCCAACCCCTGCCATGGGCAGGGACCCCTTCCACTGGAGCCGGCTGCTTTCCTTGAGGACAGGAACGAAACCCCCTTGACCTTGCCCCCTCTGCTGCTCCCCTGGCAGAAATGGAGGAAGTTCTGGGGTGTCTTGTACCGGGAGAGCTCCTGCTCCATGGCCCGCCTGGAGCTCCTGGAGGGCTCCGCACCGGAGAGGCTGCGCAAGGGCGACAGCAGCAAGAGGCTGGTCAAGCTGAGCGACTGCGTGTACGTGGCGGAGGCAAGCGGTGATGCCGCCTGCCCCAAGGACACCGTCCCCTTCCTGCTGGAGACCACGGACAGGAGGTACCTCCTGGCCACCGACAGCACCGAGGCAGCCGACTGGATCCAGAAGCTGTGCGCGCTGGCATTCCCGGTACGTGCTGGGTAGGGATAGCGGGGCTGTGGGCAACAGCAGGATCCGTGCGGGGTGCTCACCCGCTGCTTGTCCCTGTCCAGAGGAGCAGGGAGGAGCAGGCAGTAAGCAAGGAGGCTCAGCAGAGTGCACTGGGCACCGATGGGGAGTTCTCCATGGAGGAAAACTGCCTGTACAGCTCCCGGAGCAAAGGTAGGTGGCGGGCGGAGGGGAAGGTGCCCTTGGCATAGGAGGGCTCTGCATTTCCTGTGGCATCGCATCACCCATTCCTGGGTGTCTCGGCCAGTTTTGCACCAGGGAGCAGCCCCCCTCGTGGGTTCTTGCAGGCAGCGCGGTGGAAAGTCTCCTCCCAGAATAACATCTTCCTGCTCTGTGGTTTGGCAGCGCTGAGCTATCGGGCTGCTCCTGCATGGCCGGAGCCCACAAGCCCTTATCGGCCGGACACCGCTTCCCCGCCACCACAGCACCTCTCTGGGGTGGGAGATGCAGCTCTGCCCCTTGCACGTGTTAACGCCACCCTCTCACCCCCAGCTGCCTCAGAGCAGGCTTTCAAGGTGACGGTGAGGGCCACCGAGTCCTCTGAGCGCTGCCGGCTCCAGGGCCGGTGCATCCTTCAGGCTGGCAAAGAGGCACTGGAGCTGCAGGATCCCCAGACCTTGGAGACCCTCTACAGCTGGCCCTACCGCTTCCTGCGGCGCTTCGGGAGGGATAAGGTAAGTGGGGCCTGGGAAGCGTGGGCTGCGGTGGGCTGTGGTGCGGGAATGATCCTGTCCCTTCCCAGGTCACCTTCTCCTTCGAGGCCGGGCGGCGCTGCGCATCCGGGGAAGGTAACTTTGAGTTTGAGACCAGGCAAGGCAATGAGATCTTCCAGGCCATTGAACTGGCCATCAACGAGCACCGGAGCCGGGGGGCCGAGGAGCCATGGCGGGAGGATGATGCTCCCCTGTCCCATGGCCATGCCAGGATGCCCAGCTGGGCACAGGGGCATGAGGAGCCTGGCGGTGGCACCAAGTGCCCCTCATTGGAGCCAGCCTGGGAGAAGGTGGGGAAAGCCAAGCCGGGGATGCCCCCCAGCAGCTCCTCTGGGGCTGGGGAACCCTCCCATGGTGCCGACTGCCCCTACTCTGAGCCCTGCAATCCCCTCCGGAGGGGAAACCCTCCGGTGCTGGAGAAGGGCTGGAGACAGGATGCCCCCTCCAAGGCGAGCACCGAGGCTGAGTACGCCGTCCCCTTTGATGCCATCGCCAAGGCCTTTGGAGCTTGCAAGTTCAGCAGCGTGGCCCATCACCCTGAGGATGCCCCCGACCCCCTCTACGACAGCATCAGCATGGCCGGGGGTCAAGCAGGCAAAGAGCCCCCTCCATGCACCAGTGCCCCCAAGCCTGAGCACATCTACAATGAGCCCGAGGGCCTGTCCTCTCACATCGTCTACCATGAGCTGGAGGAGGTGAAGGGGGAGGCATGGAGGCTGCAGGCGGCCCCGGAGGAGCCCACGGGGCACGAGTACCCCTACAGCGCACAACGGGATGACTACGCCGTGCCCAAGAGAGCGGTCCCCCTGCGGCAGCCCTTCCTGCTGCAGGGCAAAGAGCGGCTGGGGAGCGCCGACTACGACAACGTGGCCCTCAAGTTTGCCAAGAAGAACCTGCAGTGAGCGGGAGGAGGATGGAGAGAGGAGAGGAACCCCCGGTCCGGCGCTGGTAACGCCCCACAGCCGGCACCCCCATCCCCGGCTCAGCGCACTCATGCAGGGGATGGGGTGAAGCGCTCCTCCTCCCGAGCATCCCTCCTCAGCGGCGGCACATCTGGCCAGCTGCCGAGCCGGCAGCCGGGAATGCGCCCACTGGGGGGCACTGTGCGCCCGCAGGACAGGCACGGAGGCAACAGACGGGCAGGGACCCCCCCTTCAAACGTCCCGCTCCGCACCCGGTCAAAGCTCGGGAACCCCAGCGCTGCCTGCTGCGGACCCCCCTACACAGCCCCGGGGAGCTGAGCCCATGCTGGTGGGTGATGCTTAGCTCAGGGGTGCACATTCCACAGCACAAGATGCAGCTGGACCATTTACAGCCTCAGGTTGCACATCCCACACTGCAAGATGAACCTGGACCATGCACATCCCTGGGATGCGCATCCCGCACTGCAAGATGCAGTAGGTGGCCTGGCACGGCCTGACTTGCTCTGAGTCAGCCTCTTCCTCCTCCTCCTCTCCCCTTGCCAGGGGACATCCAGCCGTGGTGTGTGTGTGTGTCCCCAGGTCTTCTATGGAAGGCAAAGAAAAGGCATGAATTATTTATAATCTCAATCAAATAAATGCTTAGGTGCTTGAGTTAATTTCCTGGATCCTGAAAATCCAAAGTGCCGACTTTTAATAAGGCAAATTAAGAGCTTTATGTATTACACTGATTAAAACTCTGTTTCCATCTATCACATGCTGGATTGAAGGGAATAGGAAATGTTGGGGTCCATGCTCCCCTTCTGCAGGCAGTGGTGGGCTCTGCTGCCTGCCCTAGCCAGGACATACAGGGCACAGGAGCAAGACCAAGGTTTGAACATCAGCCCAAGGAAGAGCATGTAGTGAGGCAGGTCTTGCCCTGCCCTGGGACTTTCCTGGCTGGCACAGGCAAGGTTTAGGAGGTGGCAGGGTGAATCGAGGGATGAGAGATGCTCCTCAGCCTATGGCTTCCCATCCTTTCCCAGGTCTCTCCCTACATCAGCAAGGGATGATCCCTGTCCACAAGCTGGCTGATTCCCATCTCCAAAGCCTGGGCAGGAATGGGAGCATCCAGCGGTGCCCCTGGCTCAGTTAGCTGGAGGTGTGGGATCTCCTGACGGCATGATGCCATTCAGCAGGAATCAATTGCTTAAGCGTGTGCTAGAATGAATTAGTGCTGATGATGGAGGTTATTTATTATTAATCAGTGTTAACACACTCCTCTCCTGAGCCCGCCCCCACCGCTATTTTTCTTCATTAACCAAAGAAATAGAAACACCTTCCAGACTCCGCTTCGGGTGTAATGAGATTTGTAGCAGGGCAGCAGGCTAACGAGGGTGGGATGGCACTAATCCCATTCCACAGAGGCAGCAGCAGGGACTGGGGGGGTGCTGCTGGAATAGATTCCCCACCGCACCCCCTGCCTGCCCTGTCTGTGTGTGTGTGGGGGGGGTTAAGGTGGAAAAGGGGATGTATCCTGGAATATCAAGTCCAGGAAAGGAGGCTGGAAGGGCTGAGCAAACAAAATCAGTGGCAGGGAGGGGTGGAAGAGATTACAGCTCAAAGCCCTGGACAAATGGAGAGTGTTTTAATCTGATTAGGGAGTTATTGTCATTATTGTGTTATGATGATTATAGATCACAGCTCATCAAAACAGAGTTTTGTTCTGAGCATTAAGAGTTGCCCCTCTCCACGGCCTCCCTCCAGGAGTGAGGCAGAGCTGCATCCCAGGGTGAGGGCTATGGACCAGGGGTGTGCAGAAAGCCAGGAGCATCCCGGGGGAAGGCTTGGCAAGGCTTGAAGAGGCAGAGCGAGGAAAGAGGGGCGTGAGGATTGCTGGGATAGAGAGAGGATGTGGAAATCAGGAAGGAGCAAGCTCGCTGAGCAACCAGGACGGGGATGCTGCTCATGGCCAGGAAACGATGCTCCTGGGACTGGGCACCCCAGGATCCTTCTCCTCTCCCTGCTCCACACATCTCTCCAAGGCAGCTCCTTCTTCATTCCTGTCTCCTTGGATTAGAGATGTGCTCCTTTTGCTCGGCAGCCGGATTGCAGGCGCCACACTGCAGCTGCAAACTGCATTAGTGTCTTGCCAAGGAGGTCCTAATGCTATTAGGAGGGAGGCATTAGAGGTGCTAAATGACAAGGCTCTAATCAGCCCTGGGATTTATCAGTCCCAGGCCTTGTGCAGGGTGGAGCAGGGCTCTTCATTCAGAAAAATTACCTAATTGGGAGGGTCTGGATTCTCTCTGCCTGTCTGCCTTCTGCAGCTCCTGGTGCCTCCCTGGGATGGGGAGCAAACGAAGCTGCTGCCAGGGCTGGAGGATGAGGAGCAGAGAGATGGCCAAGTGGAGGTACACAGCTCCTCGCGCCATCCAGCCTGCTTTGTCTTCTCTTTTGGTGGCTTGAGAAGTGCAGGAGTGGTCATTGCTGAGGACGGCAGCAGTCCGCAGTACATGGAGGCTGTTTTCCCACTGCCTGGGTGCCCATAAGGAGCGGGGCTGCCTTCCTGCCCTTGGCTTCAGCAAAATTAATTGGCAGTTGCCAAAGTCCGTAAACCCCAGCTCTGCAGGGGGAAGGAAGCTGTAAAGGTGCGTGTCCGCAGCCGTATTTCCTTCACTCCCCATTGATCCCGTGGCCTCTGCTGCCCACGGCTCGGCTGCAGGGTGATGTGCTCAGACCCTGCAAACCCACTGCATCGATCTGGGGAGCTCGGGCAGCCCACACTGCTGCGGCCGGGAGCAGGGCTGCAGCACAGGCACTTGTTCTCCTTCTCCTTCCACCAACAGCTATAATGTGTGTGGGGGAAAGCCTACAGCTGCATGGGACACACCATGGCATCAGCAGGGAGACCTTAGAGCAGCTCCAATGCCTGAAGGACCTACAGGAAACCTGGAGAGGGGCTTTGGACAGGGGAAATGGCTTTAACCTGTCAGAGGTGAGACTGAGATGAGCTCTTAGGCAGAAGCTCTTCTCTCTTCACCATTTTCCAGTGCTGCATGTTTGACAAAGGCTAAAATACCAACACACTGTATTACAGCAGCGCTGCACGCAGCCCAGGAAAGCGCTGTAGCTCTTTGGATAGTCCATTCTGCTCCTACACTGTCATTATGGGAATCCCATTACAGGTATCGGCTGGACCCTAATGATGGCAAAGAGGGAAGCAGCCAGAGCCCTAATTTCAGAGTCCTGTCCCCCTGCCTGTCCCCCTGCAGCCACAGAGCCACCACGGGGCAGGTTGTGTTTAAAACCTCAACTGAACATGGGGATGTTCCCTTCTCGTCTCGGCTGCAGTGGCTGGGTTCAGCACGTTCCCTGTCCCTCAGTGTGCAGTGTTCGAACAGAAACCGCTGTGTATATTGTACAGAGCTCCTCCACATGCAGATTTTGGGTAAGTATAACACCAATATCCCCGCCAGCCTCCCCGCATCCCCCTGCCCAGCCTGAGGCGTTAGCAAGGAAAGGGGAAAAGCACCTCCTGAGCACTCTTCTGCTGCAGCTGCAACAATCAAACAGCAAAGGAAGCTGCTGGAACCTGCCCTTCCCCAGCCAGGTCGGTGCCCAGGAAGGGTTTGCTCATTCCAGGGATGCTGCGTGGGTTTGGTGAGGGGACCCCGGGGTCCCTAAGGAGCCCCAGGGCTTGTGCATTGCCACCGCAGTGGCACAGGGCACATGTACCTGGTTATCAAAGGCCATTCCCTACCTAGTGCCAGGCTGTCCCTGCAGAGCAGCGCTACCTTTCCCAGGGACACAGCTCATTAGAAGAGGAGCCGGGAAGCGACTGGATTTCCACCCCGCTGCTCCCGGTTATCGCTGTGAAAGGGGAGCCAAGAACCAGCAGCTGCTGGGAGCTGAGGAGTTAGTATTAATTTCAAGCAAAGCATATGCTGTGTGTTAACAACCCTCCGTGCTGCGGCACAAGGGCCAGCACCAGACAGATGGCTCCGTGTGCAGCGGGAGGGATTCATGCCCGGCTCTGCTGCCACGCCGCGAGGTGAGCGGGGCCCGAGGGCAGGGACTGCGGAGCCAGGGGACACCGCCAGCATCTCACATCGCTCGTAGTCACAGAACCCCCCCGGGTTAGCACTGGAGCGAGCGTCCTGCCCACGTCCCCAGGCATCAGTGTGCGCTTGAGCCCAAAGCCGCCGTGTGCTGGCTGCATCCCAGAGCTCAAGGAGGGCAATTCCCCCCGCGCTGCGCTCTGGGATGGGAGACTGAGCTGAGCTCTTAGGCAGAAGCTCTTCCCTGTGAGGGTGCTGAGGCGCTGGCACAGGGTGCCCAGAGAAGCTGTGGCTGCCCCATCCCTGGCAGTGCTCAAGGCCAGGTTGGACACAGGGGCTTGGAGCAAGCTGCTCCAGGGGAAGGGGCTGGAGCTGGATGAGCTTTAAGCTCCCACCCACATCTCCTGGATGTGGAGATGGATGGGGAGGTGCTTTCCAGCTCGGCTAGAAGGCTTGAAAAGTCCTGAGCCATCTGTGAATACTTTGGCACCCAGGACCGCAGAACACATTAAGAGCTGCTTTGCTTCCTTAACTTGCCGTGGGAAATCACACTGATAGGTGTTAATGCAGGGTTCAGAGCAGCGTTTCCTCTCTGAAACAGCGATTGCACCCAAAATAGCTGGTGTGAGAATAAAGAATGGGTTCTATTTTTACTGGGCAGCGTGAGCTGATGCCATGGAGCCTTTGCACAGAGCTGTTGCATGACTTCACTGACCCTGAGTGGGCTCAGCCCACAGCTGCCCCTGGACAGCATGGGCAGGAGCAGGTATGCAGGGAGAGCAAGGTCTCTTCACAGCAATGGGGACTCATCGGGACATGGATCCCGACCCAGAGGGTTTCTCCTTTGTACCTGTCCTGCCTCAGCTTCCAGCCAGACCCTGCTCCTTGGGAAAGGCTGGTTTGCAGAGCTGTTCCCACGGGTCCCCCTGCCTCGTGTTCTTCACCCTTTGGCAAGACTCATGTCCTTGGAGGGCTCCAGAGGTCCTGCTGGATTAACCCACTCCACAGCCTGTGCATCTCC